TAATTACTCTTCAAAACCAGACCTCAGGACACCACAAACTGGGACCGGAGCTTTGTCTGCTTTGAAGACAAGCAACAATTTTTTTTGTCTTTCACTCAAGCACTAACTTCATCTTACTGACTTCCCAGGAATATAATTTTGTACCTTTTAGTTGCCACCCTAAGGATATACCAAGAGTCTCTACGAGGGACTGTGAGAGGCAAAGGCTCTGCAGCAGTCACACAGACCATCTCTCTACCTGTGCAACACACACCAGCTCCAGTACAGTTCACCTTGCCCTTACAGTTAGCAGCATCCGAACTTTTGAGATCACACAGAAGACAAACATTTCTGTTTTTGCAGACATCTTAAGCTTTCAACTCCCCATGAAGCCCTTCCATTAGCAACGTTTCTATCAGCCTCCTACTAAAAATAATTCAATAACAGTCCTCTGCTTACATGCCCATCCCAATAGCATCCAAACACATTAAATGAAGAGCACTCAATTGAGCTGCTGTAGCATTTTTCCTTTCAAAGTTCTCCAGTCTCTTTACAAACACTGACTAATGAATCAGGCAATATTTACCCAGTTGCCTGGAAAACAGATACACCTTTTTTAACAGCAGAAATTAACACATGAATCATTCACAGAGTGAGGAACAGAAGCTGGGACTCTCAGCTCTTGTTAACATGGTGCCTTCCCAAACATGAGTCTCAAAATACCTGCCCATGAGATGACTGATCCATCTGTCTGGGACACTCCGAAAATTTACCATCTTCAATATTGTTCTCTACCCCTGCTACCAGTTAGCCTCAAGTCAGAAATGAAGCAAGGGGTATTACAGGGAGAAAATAAATAATTAAAGGTAGCAGACAGTGCTCTGCTCAAACTGACAGCAACAAAAAGTAGCTATCACACAGAAGACTGCATTTTACCAGGCATTACTAATTCAATATTATGTCATCTCTCACACTATTCATTCAACATCAAAAGCCTTAGCAAGGACTTCCTAATTACAACATGGAAAGGCTAGAATAAAACATATTTCTGTCACATCATTTGTGGGTCTTTTATTCACAACTGAAATAGCTTCATGTTTAATTACATACAGAGTAACACACACTATCTCAGCACACAGGAGCAAACACCGATGACTTCAATGCTGCAAGCAATACTCGTGCTACCCCTTCATCTCTAGCACGAGGTGCCTATTTGCCTGTGCAAATTGATTGAAATCTCCCATGAACGAGGACCTTATCTGCAATACTGCACGCAGAGGTGTCCCTGGACGTGCTGGGCTCCCCATGGCCCTGCTCCAGCATGGCACACATCAGGAGTGAGCCCAACTGTGCAGGAATAGCAGGTACACAGCACTTCCCAGCCTTACCTCTCCTGAGCCCAGGCACCCTGGGGACCTTTGCTCTCCTGCTGCAAAGGGACAAATGAAGTGGCAACCTCTTCTATTTCACACTAACAGTTTCAACAAGAAACCAAGTGTTTCTTCACATTATGCTGAAAAACTAACCTCCCTGGTCTCCCTGCAACTACTCAACCTAGAACTGAAAACTCCAGTCTAACCTTTGCCTCTTAGCACAGACTTAATAAAGCCAAGGCCAAGGAGCTAGTTACACATAAGTCAGCAATTCAGACAGCCAGCCTCCAGCTGCAAACCTGCACACTCCTCTCAGCTGTATGAAATGAAGAACATACTGCTGATACTTCATAATGATTTCCATCAGTGGAGCAATATGTTCTTGCTTTTTCCTGAAACTGAGGGGAAGAAGTGGACTGACAACTAACTAAAAAAGCACTGCCAATAAAGAAAAAGACTGCCATCCTCGCCACAGGAAAGCAAGAGACATAAACCACAACTCTGCATGTGTACCAGCCTTGCCAATGCTTGGATGTGAAGGCAAAGAAGTCCGCTGCAGTGGGATGTAAAGATTAAAGCCAAAATTCCCTGCTAAACATTGCTGCCAAACAAGCTATTTCTTGTCAATATTTGTAAAACAAATTGAGCCTGTGCTGTAAATATCCCTGCATCTGTGTGCTGTTTGTTTCAGCATGAAGACTTGCAAATAAGCTCCACAGCATACTTACACTGGGAGAACAGCCTGAGCAACTCTGGTAGGACTCAGCTGTTCAGGCCCTACAAGTGGCCCTTTGTGACTAGTGACAGACAGCACTACTGCAGCCTCTCTCACATTATCACTGCAATGAGACAGGCAGCGCTTTGCAGCCACCTGTATACCCACCAAAAAAAAAAAGCAAAGGAAAAAAAATCTTTCAAGGACAAAAAAATATTTAAAAGTTACCCCAACACTACAAGAATGAATTCAGAATTATTTAAATGTTTAACAAGCAAATCAACCAACCACTTGGTTCAGGCTCATACTATTTGTTCAGATTTTTATTTTTTTTCATGCATCAAGACCTGCTTTGCCACAAGCCAGTCTTCCAGCACACCCTGCTCCATGAGACAAGTTCACAAACTCTGTTACAACATCCCTCTGCAGGAAGGAGCTTGGAGAAAAGGAGACTGAGGGGTGACCTCATCAATGTTTACAAATATGTAAGGGGTGAGTGTCAGGGGGACGGAGTTAGGCTTTTCTCGGTGATGACCAGTGATAGGACAAGGGGTAATGGGTGTAAATTGGAGCATAGGAAGTTCAAGGTGAATATCCGAAAAAATTTTTTTACTGTGAGAGTGACAGAGCACTGGAACAGACTGCCCAGGGAGGTTGTGGAGTCTCCCTCACTGGAGACATTCAAAACCCACCTGGATGAGTTCCTGTGTGATGTACTCTAGGTGACCCTGCTCTGGCAGGGGGGTTGGACTAGATGATCTCTCGAGGTCCCTTCCAGCCCCTAAGATTCTATGATTCTATGAAGGAGGGATAGAAGAGACATCTCTGAAAAAAAACCAGCTACAGTTGGACAGATGATTATTTTTTCAGGTTGTCACCAAGTGAGTGATCTGAAAGGAAGCACTGCTTGACCCTCAAAGACAGAGTTACAGCTGTTGCCATATTAACATTACCCTATTCTACACCTGTCATTCAGCAAGTAGCTATGATGGTGATAAAACTGGCATGAGAGGAAAATTCAGGAACCTAAATCTATTCCCACCTCTCCCTACATCTTGCAGCATGACCTTCACCACACTGCTTCACCCTCTGAGATTAACTTGCCTTTCATTACAAATGGGAAGCTTAACTTAAATATTTCCTCACCATGGTCAGAGGAAAGACACAGCAAGCACCAAGCTTCCCAGGAAAACTATTAAAGCACTACCTGGAGGAGACCTTAAAATACATTTCTTGCAAGTAACATTCATAACAAAGTTTGGACTAGATTACAACATTTGGAAAAGGAGAGCACATTAGGGTTTGATGAACTGAAGATTGTTTTACAGCAAAAGCAAACAACACATTTCCCTCTCCATCACCATCACTTACAAACTCAGGAGCAGACTGCCCTGTTGAATTAAGTGCCAAAACTTCCCTGGATTTCAAACGAAAGTCCTAAACACTGAATCCTTCCTTCACCAATCCAGAGCTAAAATAAATCCTGGAGAGGGTCATTGCTTCACTGTATGACAGTAGCATTTTGAATGGTCAGATGAACAGCCTTATCAGCAGCTGTACATACATGACGTGCACACATGCAGTAAGCATTAAGACAGAAAAAGGTAGCATGACCCATGGTCACAAAAGGGGCTGATTCAAGACTAAAGCCAAAAAGCTGGCCCAGTAACCTATTAGCTAGCCATCATTACTGACAAACAAAAATTGTCTATCCGTGCTTTTGTTAGAAGATTGTATTTTCTCCATGCAATCTTCTCCTCGTTGTGGTCAATACAATTTATTCGCTGGCTTTCCAGCAGGTGGGAACTAGCACAGGCCTCACTTGCAGCCAGAAACAGCCCTGCTTTCTGCCAGCAGATGACTTAGAACACTGTACCCATTAGTTGAGCAGAGGTGAAGGTGTTAGATGAGCTCAAGAAAATGCAAACAGAAAGCAGAAGCTGAGGACATCACAGGAAATATACCTGTCTGGTAGTAGGGGAAGTGCAAGACAAGTTAACCAACAACAAAAGCACAGTAATTTTGATTTACCACAGCTTTATTCTAGGTCACTGCTTGATGGACAGAAGTATATCTTAAAGTATAACTTAAAGGGAGCCATATGATTTTTCAGAGCTGACTTAGATCTGTGCACAGCATACAATTTGTTCATACCATGGCAATCTACCCAAACACACAGGTAGGCAGCAAGCTGTTCCTCTGCAGAGCAGAAAGGGGAATTTGCCACCCGCAGGCAAAGTTCTAGAAGCTGCAGATGCAGAGAGGCACACTGATACAGAAGCTAAAACCACAGGCAATGTGTTATCGAGGAGAACCACAGTGGAAGCCTTCGTATCTGCAAACCAGAAAGTACACACCTGTTCACTTCTCCCCACACAAGCAACCAGTTACAGAAACAAGTTACCCTGGCTTCATGTTAAAAATTGCCATGAACCTAAAAAGCACAGAGGAATTTATTTAAAAGAAAGCACATTTTATTAAGAAACACAAATAAGTGGATGCTTCCGAACCAAGCAAACAGCCCTACTGCTTGTGCAACACTTGCTGTCAGAGCAGAATTGCCTTGCCCGTCAGCTGAGGCACAACATATGGGATTCCTCGTCCCCCAGCTTATGGGAAAGCTGGAGTAGTCAGAGTTTCCATGCTACACTTCCCCCATGAAAGGCAACACCAGCTGAGGTCTCCAGCTTCAGGCTGAAAAACATACTGTCAGAGAAGTGACAACAGCCATAAGGAAAAAAAATTCCCCACCACTGGTCTGAAGGAAGAGAGGATGGTAAGATGTGGGGTCCCTACAGCTATGGAGAAACTGCACAGAGTGATGTGGGTTCATTTACAGGCAAAAAGTTTTTGAGCCATCAAAATAGCTAAAGCAGCAACAAAAGCCAGAAGAGGAAAAGGAAAAAGGAGGAGAAAAACAGCAGGACACATACCCACAGTCAATCCAGCTTATAGTACCTCGTCCTTTCACCTCCTGAGCCACACTGGACAATAACCTGAGTGAGCTTTCTGCAGCAGCAGCTGGAAAACAAATCAACAACAGCATTATTACTCCACATCTAAAACACACAACAATGCATTCCTTTGTTCTGAAGCATTGGAAGAAACTTTTGTCTAATCTGAAGAAACCAGTATGACAGGGATCAGTAAAATCTTCTGTAAACTAGAAGGAATGCTGGCTGCAGCTGAAGTTTCCCTCCAGGCACAGTCTCAGACCTACATTTACAGAGCTATACTGTGTCCTCTCCAGCAAAACAGCTTCCATCCCAACACTGCCTTTTTCCTGTGGCTGGGCATTAGCCAGTTTGTATCACTGCCTGCTAATTAGAGCAACTTCATTTAGAACCCTCATCAGCAGTAAGGGAAGCCATTCAGCATCTCTGCCTGCCTCAATTCTATCCCTGCGATATGCAGAAAATCACCCAAACCAACACTTGTGAGGAGAACAAAACTATTAGCAGAAAGGACCCAGAAAAGGTCCTTCCAAGGACTGGCTATGCTATAAATATGAAATTGATATTTTTATAATGCCATGCCACGTGTAGATTTTGGAAAACACTTCCATTCCAAAAGTCTTATAAATGGTATTAAAAATAAAAACAGAAAACAAATGGGACAAAAGATCAGGACTGAAAAATATCAAGTATCAATACCCCAAAAAACCTAACAAACTCTTTCCTGCCTCACTAAACAGAAAGCAGAAACCCAGAGCCTCTAACAGATCTATCTAAACTACTGCTGCTCCTCAACTGTTTCAACTAATTGAATATAAGAACAGCTATACTGGGTCAGATCGAATGACTCTATAGATCAGTATTCTTGCCTCCAACATTTGAGAAAATTAAGGCCTATGTAGGTCTGAGTAGACAAACAGAGCCAGCGGGTAACAATAGCCCCCTCAAATAATCTCTAAACCCTCCCAGTTTTTATCTCAATGATCTCTGGAGCCAGAAACAACTTCTTTGTACTCCACAGACTTTGCTTGGGCCTGATGCCAACAGAGACACAAGCCCACACACAGTAGGTCTTAATAAACTCTCCTAACCCAAAGCTGATGAAGTGCAACTGCCACCTCTCTCCAGCACAGGTGTGTAGACGTGGGGGAATTCTTCACATGTGCTTGAAGTGGAACAGTCTGGCAAACACCCTTTAAAGGTAAGCATTCAGGATACGACAGACTTGTTCCAGAAGATCCACTAGTTGAGCAGCCCTGGTAGAATACTCAGCCAGTAGGACAACCTGAGCACCTCTGGAAACCAATGAATTTTCTGCATATGATAGAAATACTTATCTAGTGGGGTTTTTTTCTAGTTATCTACTTCTCAACTGAGAAGCAAAGCCTTTGTACCAGCAGCATGATCAACTGGCCAACACCTTACTGCAGCAGGGGGATCTGTATCTGGGATAAGAACTGCACCTCTAAATTCCTACCTCTTTTTCCATTTATCCCCTCTTTCTGGGTGACTGTTAGACAGGAAATCTCTAATTGTGCAAAGATCGCTGTTCCAGGAAGAAACATTAATCCCACAGTCAGATCTGCATGCAATACTTTAGACTGCTAAAGCTAACTAATTAAATAATAGGAACAGAAAAAAGAAATCTCCACAACACACATTTTTGAACAATGCCCATAGGGCAATGTTTATTTGATGACTGTCAGAGCTGAAGTGTTCTGGCTGTGTTTCTAAAAATGAAAGCAACCACCACTTAAAAATATTAACCATAAAAAGAAAATTTTCCCTTTAAAAAGCAGAATAATATAGATGTCTTTTTTATCTAAAGTGCTCCTTTCAAAATCAAAAAGCATTAAAAACTCTTTTATGACTTTCACTTTGAACCTATTACTGCAAAACCATTTGGCCAAGTTCAAGTGCTCAACATTCCCCACTATAGCAAAACACAAATATTTTCAAAAAATTAAGTCGAATGTATCATTTTAATTGTTTCAGAATAAGCACATCTTTAGGAAACAAAGTTAATTATCCCTGCACCTCCACATATTTGTCTGCCAAATTCTCACATTTTACTTCATTGTTGTCCAGCGATTTCCACAAATGCATGTTTGCACTTGTGTATGCGGCTTAAAGATTGTTCCTTCATTTTACATTGTGTCACACAACATAACACACCAAAACAAACAAGGGAAAAAGGGAAAAAAGGTACAGTCGGAACTAAACAGTGCAAAAGGAAGAGCTAACAGACAGGCAAAAGCAAGAGTCACCAGCCAGAAAGGAGAGCCTGAATGAGAGAAGACAGCAAAGAAACTCAAGGGCACAGACAGCATGACATGATATGAACCATTTCTCCCTCTTACACAAGCAGCTTATTTTTTATTTGTATATTTTGTTGAAGTTGAAAGACAACCATGGGACACCCAAAGCTGTAACAAGCAAAGATTGATTGACTTCAGTACTATAACTATTCAAGAAGCCTTTCAGTAACACCAGGAAATCTAAACTTGGAAACTACTGTGATAAACACACTAGAAAGCTCTGGCTGATAGCTATTACAAGTAGAGTTTTGGAGACAAAGCCAAAAAGACACTGGTCCTGGAGAAGCCCTTGCAGCCACATACGGCAACACTGAACAGAGAGCAAAACAGGGTGAAGAGCTTAGTCATCTGAGCATGGACACAGGAAATTCAATATGCACATAGATATTCAAATGCACACACCTTGCTGAGCACAAAGAGTTTGTGACAACAGGGAAAAAAAAAAAGAAAAAAAGGAGGACTTACCAGATTTGGAATACAGCACTAGTACATTATTCCGTGTCCTGAGAAGCTTCTTAAAGTCCTTGTGGTCACTTATCTTTTCTATGAGTGGAGACAACTTCAATGAGTACACGAACACTGGCAAGAATGCCTACAGAAACACAAAGCCAGAAACATTAGTAATAGCTTCCATACTGAGAAAAACTGATTCAAAATTGCCTTGACCTTCCTTTATAATCTTGAGACATGCTGCCTTAAATAATCTATTAATTTGATCAGCAAGGGTTGTTGTTTGCTTTTTTTAAAAAAAAAAGGAAAAAAATCAACATACACGTGACTTATTGAACCTGGACCAATGCCACTCCCAGTAAGCATCCTTAAGTGGAAAGATGAGACAAACACAACATTAAGAAACATGGTTTTAGTTAAGAAGTCACACCCTTTGAAAGTTTGTTCCATAGTCAGATAATCAGATGAAAATTCTTATATAAAATTTAATATACTGCAACAAGAGATGCAGCAAGTTACCATTTTGAGAGCACTCATCTGCAAAGCAGATCAATCAAGCACTTTGATATCCCACAGAAGACACTGAGTGCCATGAAGCCCACACTGACATAAAGCAGATGAGGGAGATAAAAAAAGAATTTCCAAGTAATTCAGCATCCATATTATAGCACTAACCACAACCCACTCCCAGTAGCCCTTCCAAAGTGGAATAGGGTTTATGTTTCTCACTGGCCATACAGTATATCTCACACACTCACCAGTGCCTCTGCCACAACATCCAAGTTTGGCTTCCACTGGCCATATGGAATGCACAGTGCTTAATCTCTCTGCATCTCAAGTCTGTATCTATGCAAATAATTATTTTTGTCTTCCATTGCATCTTTTGGTTTATTTAAATCATGACTGCTCCAGGAAAGTATGTCTTTTATCTTACCATGAAGTAAAACTCCTATCAAACTATGACCATAACCTCAGCTGGGCCCTTCAATGCTCATTTGTACTGCAATAGTCTTCAATAATAAACTTATGCATCATGCTATGCTGCCTCCTTTCTGCACTGTACTGAATTCCTAATAATAGAATGATTGTGGGAAGCTTAGCTAGAGAACTATCTAGTTTACATTCACCTTACAGTAAAACTTAACACTTAAGTGCTTGGCTAAAAGCTTTAGCTCATTTCCCTAACACACACAAGAGATTCAATGTTTTCTTAATTACAGAACTAATTTTGATCATGTCTCATTCCAACTGGTCTGGAAAATGTGTCCGGGGTAGATGTGAAGAACTAAGAGGCTGCTCTTCTTGCATCCCATGTATTACAGATTGCAGCATTCAAAACAAGGCACTAAGCCAATCCCACTCAGAACACTCAGCCCCAGGCACTGCACTTCAATACATATTCAGCTATTTGCAAACACTGTGTCACTGAGGCACAAAAACAAAAACTGCACCTATGAAACATAATTTTTAAGTGCCATAAGTTTTTACATGCAGAAAGGGGTGGGGGAGGGAAAGGAGCTTTGGGATGCAAAGGGTAGAGGCTGAGCTGAAATGGGAGTCCTCCTCAAAACAACCTCAGGATATATTTCGCAATTTAGTCACTAGAATATACACCTTTAACATAAAATAGGCTTAGAGTGAACAAAGTTATCCCACTCTGCAGGCAGGTTTCCCACTACCAAGCCCTCCTGACCAAGTGATCCAACTGTGAGGCAGGAAAAAGCACATGTGCAAGTCAGCCCCTACCTTCAGCATAAATATCCTTGATGCTTTAATTCAACCAAGAGACTTGCATTCTTCTCAATCCAGACGTCCAGAGCACAGCTTTCCTACTTCAGGCTGATGCATGTGAATCATTTGTGATTTTTCTGAGATAAATACATGGCGTTGCCAATCAGAGGAGACAAATATAGTTTTGCTAAGTGGGGTGACACAGACATGCAAATTCCTGCTTAAAGCTCATTGCAATCAAGACGCTGTAGAGGAGGGATTAATCTAACCTTGAATTATGAGCAGATCTCTTTGATCCTAGGGATTTTTTTAATTTTTCCTTCACCTCAACTTTTGTAAGTATCCAAAGTGCCTTAACATCTTGAGTTCCAGAGGCCAAACCTAAATTTAATTGTAACTAAGGCGGAACACAGCAGGAAAAGTGAAACTACAGGTTGCTTTTAGAAGCTTTCCTCATTTAAAAAGCTGGACTCAGATAAGGATATTCTACTCTATGAACTCACTGCCAAGAAGAAATAATGGGACTAAAAAAAGAGACAAAGGCTACTTTCAACATGACACCAAATGGTATTATGAATTCTGTTTAAAGCATCTGTACAGTTTTACCAATAGCTTGGAAACATGTGTAGTTTATGTCTTTTCCAGATGGAAAGGCTGTTTAGCCAATTCCAGTGAATTTTCTTTCTCTTTTCCTTATAATGGCAGATTTATAAACCTCTTGAAAAAATTGATTCTGGAGACAGTGACAGCTTTAACTGCTGCCTTGTCAGTGTTGCCACTAACAGAAAACTCACTGTGCTGGTGGAACAGCAAGCGCTTGGAGGAAGAGGCACGTCACGTTGCATAAATCCCACTGCTACTTTGCCCAGTTCCTCCCTGGGTATCAAATCAATATGCTGCTAATTTTCCTGCAGTTTTACTACAGCAGCTCTCTCTGATCCTATGGTTTATACCAAAACCCACTGGGAAAGGCACTGTGCACACAAGAGCGCTAGTCAGCCCTGCCGAATAAATCATCATCTCCCTTTAATTAAGATTAATGTTGCAGCCTTTCCTGGTTATAAAACGCAAAAATTCCAAGCTGAAGGCATTGAGTTGGACAGAAACACCCTTCCAGCACACCTACAGAAGCTGCAGCAATGCTGGGAGGTTATCACTGAGCTGAAAAGTTCACCACCTCCCAACACATATTTGCACTACATGGTGTTTGCAAACTGATAAGAATAAAACAGTTCCACACTCTCCAGCTTTCCTTCATTGAAATGAATGAAGACACTTCCCAGGAATAAATGAGAAGCCGGTTTATCGTTAAACCGCCAAAGAACTTCAGCCTTTGCTTTCAGCTCCACTGAAGACAAGTGATACTGAGCAGTCACTGTGACCCAATGCCAGTCTCAGCCACAGAGCTGCTTTGCCCTGCTCCAGACCCAACCTGGTCATGCCTGTACCAGCAGCTATAGCATCACCAGGGCTACAACCAGTAGGGAACAGCATGGAATTAAGAGGATGGAAAAAGAAAATCTTACGGAAGCAGTTGCACACTCTTCATGAAAATCAGGCTCATATTCCTGCATAGCCCACAGGCAAAAAGCAGCAGCAATGACAAAGCTCATTTGCATGTACTGTGCTATATGACTTTAATTGTGAGATATGACTCAGGTAGATTTACTCCAGATATCTTGCAGGAAAGCTCTGTCTGATCAAGCATGCTAATTCTGGTTTAAATCCAGGGCACAAGAGGAGAGGAGCTCATTAAAAAAAAAAAAGAAGAGGTCAAGAAGAGCAACTGTCAGGAAGACCTCCTGGTCAGGAAGCCTCTTTTCATATGAGTCAGGAAGTGCTACATTCACACATATGGAGGTCTATAAATAAAAAACAAGCTACACTCTTGTCACTTGAGCATCAGAAAGCTTTAAAATCTATTCACAGCTACCATTGTAAAGTCAAGAACCACTGTGAACATTTTTCTCCAGAAGCTGCCTACCTATAAAAGTAGAAGGCACATTAGGACCAACAAACACAACATTTGTGTCACCCCTGCCCTGTGACAGTTGTGCTGACAAGAAATTGTAATAAAACTAAGGGAAGCTCTATTTTATTTCATGCTGTGTTTGCACAGTATCTAGCATAATGGGTCCTCCTCCATGGCTGGCTTAGTAAGCTGGAAGCAATAAAACAGTCACCTGGTAGCCTCAAATGCTAGAAACTTTGGTGGAGATCTTCAGAAAAAAAGCAGACTACACATGGCAGACTATGAAATGCAAATCTGGTAGCACTTCTAGTCTGCAGATCTTCCCCAGCTCAAGATCTCTGAATTTATTTTCACTTTTTTTTTTTTATGGTGTAGGTCGCGCATCAGTCATGCGGTGATAGTGTCTGATCTAAGATGCATGAAGGATTCTCAAGTAAAACATAAATTAACCCAAACCCTCAAGACAGTCAATTCAAAACTGCTGAGAGACACTGGTATTCAAGTGCAAGGTGCAAAAACGTGTTCTAGCTCTGCCTCTGCTCATCAAATCAAAATATGTATTTAAATACATAATCTTGCAAGCTAGGTGGAAAAAGCCTGATCAGTCAAAAAGGTTTAAATTTTCCTTTATTTTCCCCACTCTCCAGCATTTCCTTACAGAGCTGCTGAACATACTCAAGTGCTAAAGAGCAGCAAGACATTCCACAACCCCGCTCCCTCAGAACTGGTACCCAAGAAACACACGAGCTTTCTGAAAACCCACAGGCAAAGAGAGTTACAGACAAATAACTATTTGCTAATTATACTTCCAGGACTGACACTACTGAAAAGTGTGGTCAACCCTCAGGCTGTGTTTTCTCAAAATCATCAAGGATCTGAGAAAGCAGACTTTATTTTTCTAGTTTTTACTCTTCTCTGAATCTCATTTCAGAAAGAAAAATAGGAAAAAAAAGGAATATCCTTCAAGCAGCTACAATAATGTATTTTCAAATTTTACATTTATTATTCAAATTAAGTGTGATAAATGCTTAACTCCTGTTTCCCCTGAACCCAGCTCAGTTTAGGAGTCGTTCCCCACAAAAGCTTAATGACAGCATGTTCTTTTGCTAAGGATAAGCAGCATGTCTGGAGAGTATTTTTTTTATTTATCTATTTTAAATCAAGGATGATGGTTTCAAAAACAAGGAAATACAAATTAAAATTAAACAAGGAGGAACTATCAGAGTAGTAGCACTGTACACTGGACAGAAAAACTATTTCCTATTTCTTCTATTCCCAGCTCCAGAGCATGAAAAAAATGTATTTCCCTAGACACAAATTAAGCATTAAAAAATATAAATCAATGTGTGGCTCAAAGAGTCCTTAGATGCCTGAATCCATGTCAACATACAATTTTTATGCGCACACTAACACTTACATGTATAATTAGGTAGACATATTTGCACACTATTATTCACCAAGAATAGCTAGGGTTGACACGAACAGCACTGATTCCAGCACAACTGCTGCTTGGCAGGGATGCAATCTTACACTTGGCCACAGTTTCAAAAGCCCAGGTTTCAGCAAGACATTGGCTTTGATTTCTGTCTTCACTTAACCGCCCACTGATGTCATTCTCATTTTGGGACAACAGTGTTCATCCCACTGTAAATATGATCAACGAGCGACCTTGTACATATGAAACAGATTGTGCCTGACAAGGCATTTTATGGGAATCTAGCTAAAGAGCAAACCGCCTTCAAAATTCCAATGGAGATGAGTGAATTTAATTTCATAGCTAATTTCTTTTCAAGGGGACTAGATGACATTCTAAACAAGGGTCTCCCCTGCTGTATTAAAAAAGGGGGGTGGGGAATGAAACATAAAAAAGGCAAGAAATCTCAAGAACAAGTCCATATCTCACCTTTCCTTTTCTCCTCAGTTCCCAAAATGAACCCTGTGGTGGAGTGCACACTTAACTTCAGAAGGTGGATTTGAAGGAACTACTGCAGTGATGGAGGTTTCTAAACCTGCAGATCAGCCAGTGACACGGCCAGGTCCTGCAGGCAGCATGTACATACGCATATACGGAAAATAACAAGTCAAAGTCATCTCCAGGCAAGCACAAGAGAGAAACAGATCTGTTGCTCCTCTCCCCCCAATTTGTTCTCGCTTAAAATACAAGATGTTAAAGTCCAAAGCCCCCTTGTTTACAAGAATCACAGTTTGACTGCAGATGTTTTATCTTCCTCGTTCATCATACAAACCACTCTTGACCTTGTGCAATAATTGCTTGCTTTTCACTCACAAGCCCTCCCTCTGCTGCTATTTACATTCAGGGTTGTGATGCTTTGATCACTGAGCCATTTGTAACAAATGCCTTCCAAGATGGATAATGATAAGTAGGACAGTCCCCAGTTTTCATTCATGATTAATATCCAAAATAGCTGTAAAAACGTTTTAATCACACAGGGGAGACAGGTTATCTCTGTCATCCAAAAGTACCTCAAGGAAGCCTGCTAAGAATTTATTAGGTGAATGAGGGGCAGAAGAGAAAGGGTAGCACTTGGGTCTCAGGCTTCCAGGAGTCACAGTTGAAGTAGCCCCTGCAATCCAGTTGGGACTGCAACAAGATCTTCTCCCAACCACATCTGCAGGGCTGAGCACCCCCAGCTCAGAGGCTGCAGCACATTATTTGCAACTGATCCAAAAAGCCATCTATGGGCTCACTGGGGAGTGGCGATTCGAGCGCCTGCAGTAGCACAGGACAGCCAGGAGGGGATCACTCCTGCGGACACACTGGAAGATCAACTGCTGCATCGGGAGACTGACAGCGTTAAAAACGTATGGGTTTTTTGCCTGGGAGATTTACATTTGCAGACAGTCTCACTGGACACTTCTTGGGTTTTGTTCATGTCACCATAAGCTCTGTGGAAAAACAGATTCTTATTCTGTATATAATCCAGATCAATTAATTCTCACCTCTAACCATTCAAGGAAAGAAAAGCACTGCTGAGATTTTCTTGTGGTAGGTCACGTCTGCAAGAGGCAAGTGTCATAGCTTCCTTTGTTCATGAAGGAAGGCAAACTAAACTCCTGACAGTATCTGGGTATTCTGGGCTGAAGAATGCAACAAACAAGTCTTTCCACTTAACATGGTTCTTGCTATGTTCACTTTCCAAATATAGAAGATAGCAAAAAATACCATGGAGATGTCAAGATTTGACTAGACTCTACTGTTCATATTGTTCCTAAACACTGGGTTTTAAGGAATATAAGCTACAGGCATAATAGTCTGGGTTGTTCTTAAGAGCTCTGTGTAGCCAATTAATTGTATGGTTTATCACTGGTTTTCAAATGCTTAGTGAAGCAACTATTTACTAATTAACAACTGACTGTAATAGGGTCAATTACTAATGCTGACAAAGAACTTTCTCCTTATTATTAATGTGAAGCTCACTCTCTTTTCAAGCCAGGCATCACTGGAATAGATACTAAACAAGCTGTTGATGAAATAATGCTTCTGATCTCACTCCTGAAAGACTGCACCTGAATGACTAAGGGCATGAGCAAAGCATATGCCACATAATCCCCTGCTATAGATTGAGTTCTGAAAAAGCTTAAAGAAGTATCACCTACTCATAGGAGATGCTATAAAAAGAAGACTGAAACACTCCTGATAGAATTTAAAAAGAAGAGAGGGTAAAAAATAACACCTGAAAATCCTTAGCACTTTATATGGTACTTGTTCTCTCCAAAGTATTGCACAAATATTAACTAATTAATTCTCACATTTTTCTCCCAGGTGATAGGAGACAAAGCTTAATTTAAATCGTTGGAGTACGAGTCACACGGAAAGGAAGTGATCTGCAAGAGGTAAAAGGGAGGCAGCACAAGAGCAAGGTGGCATGCAGCTGACCCCAGAGCAGCACACAACCACACAGTCCTTGTGTACCATCTCCTGAAAAGTAAGGAGGGGGAGAGGAAGCCCATTTGCAGTCACCCTGCAAATATGCTATATGACTATAAACCCAAATACAATAGACAGGACATCATCAGGGGAGCCACAAATGAGATTACCTTTGTAATCTGTGTTCTGCAAGCACACAAATCACAGCACCCTCCACCAATGCTACCTGCTACTCTCAGCCAGCAAAGTGCCAAAACTTAAGACCTCCTTTGCTACCACAATTTTTTGCCATTCACAAGCTTGAAACAGAGGCAGGACCATAACTTACTTCCTAAGTGACCCTGTCTGCCTTAAGAAATTCAAGGAAATGATAGTTTGTGATTCTGATTGGAAACTGCATTGAGTTTTTCCATTCATAAACCTCCAAGCACAACTCTAAAGAAAGGTGAGCCTCATTTCCTTCATTTCACTGGAATAGAAGGAACTCAAGGAACTGTTCACCAAAAAGCAAAAGAAATGGTCAACAACAGACCAATCCATTGATCTTTCACCACCAATTGATCACACACCACTTTTGATCACTACACCACACTTGTAGCAGCATCCAAGGCCCTCAGAAGTACAGACACTCTGGGATCAAATGGATTCAAAATATCAATCCATGGGGTGTGGACTTCAGTAAAAAAAACCACCAAAAAACCCAAGAAACCACC